AATCTAGCAAATTCAGCTGATTAATTTGACATTTTTTTTTAAATCGGTCAACGTGCCGGTGCTGATACTAAATTTGGAACCTCCCCCTTGGACGACAAGGGCCCTAGCAAATTCCAAAAATGCCCTAGCAAAATCTAGCAAATTCAGCTAAATAATTTGACATTTTTTTTTTGATATCGAACATAGCGCCGGTGCGCCCACAAAGATAGTACCGGCATGTTTGTTTGCGGATTATCAAAGTTTAGGAGTCCTATCAAAATCCAAAAATGACCTAGCAAAATATAGCAAATTCCTAGCAAATTTTTGATACCATTTACATAACTCTAGCATAATGTGCCGATGCCAACTTGACGGACATTTGTAATACACATAGTTTTACTATTTAATTCAATTAAAATTATTGAGGTTTGAGTTTCCTTAAAACTCGGATATTGAATAATATTTATTTATGATTTGAATGAAATATTATAATAATACATCTTTGCTAACTGATAATATTTTTATTTAAATAGTATGAAACTTAGCTGTTTACGCGAATTATACGTCGTTGAAACACTTGAAACATGTTATATAAAATTATATAATATTTTATTATTGCGTTCCTACAGTATATTAGCACATATATTATAATATATGAAAATTGAAGAGTAACTCCATCCCCCTACGTACCCTCCCACAATTCAACTGTCTCTGAGCATATAAAACTATACAAATTACGAATATTTGTTCAATAAAAATAGTTTAAGTCTTGATAAACCCTGTATACTCCTGATTACGTACATTGATTTCATTACTTTCAGTTATCAGTTTAAAATAAATATACATAGTAATATTTATAAATAAGATTTTCAAAAATAATTTAAATATGTTTAATAATTATGTATATTATTTATATTATAAAAATTATGATAAATAATTTAATTACTAAACAATTTATAGTAAATAAACAATGTATTTAAAACTCCGTGCGGCGTAAAATTTAAATATTATAGCTATATTTGACGTAGAAATAGATAATAGACAGGGGCGCAATTTCAATGAAAATACTGGGGGTGCTAAAGCACTTCTATCTTTTTCATGTTCCTTAATGGTTATAGACACCCGCGAATCGTACAATTCAACAGTCTAAATTTAAATTTTTCACTTTGATTTTATATTTTTATTGTGCGTATAAGGAATTATTAATTACCTGTCTGTAAACACAAATGTCTTATCACATTATCACTTTAAGATTCTGACTAAATCAAAGGATATTATAGTTTTATTACGATGTTTGTATTTTATTTATTTAACACTTTTTTGGATAGAAATTTTGGTTCAAAAGTTTTTTTTAGGACCTATTTTAGATTTTAAATTGGCATGCGGTGGTACTTTAGATAGATAATTTTTTAAAATCATAATAGTTTTTCTAAACGCGAGGAAAAAATTGTCCTAAAATGGTAAAAATACGGTGTAATAAGATTTTCACATTTCAAATTTTAGGTATTTAGTCATAATTCCAAAAGTAATGAGACTAGAAACTTGAAACTTTTACCCTATAGCAAAGATTTTTTTTTTTCGTATTGCGAAATATTTTCGTATTGCATAATAATTTATATATTTATACAAAAAAACTCAAAAACTATTATGTTTTTCCATACATAATGAGTAATGAGTATTTTAATATAAATTAACATAAACACATTTGATGGTACTAATTTCGAAAATGGGGATGCTAAGCACACCCAAGCCCCCCCCCCAAATTGCGCTTATGATTATAGATTACAAAATTGAATACTGAATGTTTTTTAGTCAACAAGATGTATATTATTGAAATATCTAATGTAATAACTATTTTTCAATCTATAGTAACCCTTTTTATATACATACTTATTACGATCACCAACCAGTGGTCCGTGGATCTCTGATGGTCCGCGATAATATATTGGATGTTGCAAGAAATTTTTGAACATTATTTGAAATTTTATTAATCTTACCGATCGTCGACGATAAAGATATGGTAGTCTGCACCACAAGGATGTATTTGAGGGAGGGGGCGAAGGGGACATTCGCTCTCCTTATGATTCATATTTTTTTTGAATATAATACATTGATTTATTTAAAAAATGTAATGTATAAATAATTAAGAATAAAAATTACTAGTCTATCATTATAACAGGAACATGAGCAAAGGTTAGCAAAGGTATCTTTTTGCCACACCATAAAAAGTTATAGATTTTAATAATATATTCGAAGTTTATTATTCAACTTTGTAGACCATCTATTATTGTGATTGTATCCAAAATAGTTATATTTTGTGATAAGTCCAATAAGGACAATAAGACAGTGTATACTCTATATGTTGTACCTATGATTTATGAAGAAGAGTTAGTCAGTTATCATATTAAACCTTTAAAAATGTATTTTTTAACTTTCTAAAAATAAACTTTGCTACCCCAAAATTTGGACTTTAGTGACGCCCATGGATATAGTGGTCTGTAATAGTGCCGTGTCTAGTAAAATTAGCGTCCGGTAGCAAGAAACATTTTTAGCATCCCCACTCCCTTTACCAAATATTTATATATAGGCTATAAGGAGAATAGAATAAGAATAGAAGGTTCTATATACCTGTATTTTGTATTTGATAAATTAATTAAAAAAATAATCAACAACTAAAGAACAATATAATAACTTTAAATAATTGCCGATAAAAAATGATTAGGTACCTTTGCAACTTCTGCGTTCATGAACTTTGATGTGAATACTATTATAAATGCTATCTACTAGACGGGTTTAAAATAAAATCGTACAACTCATTCAAGTCGACATTAATTTTTGTTATTAATGTTATAAAATTAATTGTATTAAATAATAATAATAATACAGTATAAATGGTTTATTTTTTGTTAATTTTTTATTAACGATGTCTTCCTATACAGAAAAAATAAATACCAATACAAAAAATAAACTAGTCACACCGCCGATCAGGATAATGTTAATAGTGTCGAATACACGTCGAGACCATGACGTTGAAAGTGGTAAATATTATGAAATAAATAATATGGTTAACTTTCAACAATATTGCTTAGATTTTGAAAAAGCTTTTGGCGTCCCAGTGGTCATGGTACCCGGTGCACACGTACCTCTCGCATCTCTTTAAGCACGGCTCTGGGCCGTAAAACCTAATAGGTCGGATAGAATCTACACTATTATGTAAATATATTGTTATTTTAAAACTAATGATGTGACTGTATACTATTTACTAAGGTAAATTTGAACTAGTATTCAAAAATATTATAATTTTGTGTTTATAAAACGAATTCCATCTAATTACGTAATAATCGCTAATGATTAACCATATAAACAAAGAAACCAGAGTGCTTGGACCGCTAATATTGTTTTGACCATGAGCTGGACTACTCCAATACTCACAGTTTTACATTTTAAAAGTTTGTATGTAAACCCATTTGATACCATATTTATCAGAAACAATTAAGCAGAGTTTGTACGGAAAAAAAACAAAACTTTAACAATCTAGAAGTTAACAAGTTTTATGCTACGAAATTTAGTAAAGAAAGCATATTCATTACTTATTTTGTCTATAATAATAAAAATAACTCGGACAAGATAGTGTAATTTTACTGTATTCTATTTGAATGCAATAATTACATTAGACAAAAAACGATTTTGAGCGGACGAGGGAATCTTTTTTATTTAATTTTATTCGTTTCTATGGTGATAAACAAAGCCTTTTAAGAACAGCTTAAGAACGATTTATATAAATAGATAATTTATATAATTATAATTATAATTTATATAGAAAATATCATAAGAGTGAAAAAAAATATAAAATAAAAGAAAAAGCTCAAAAATCGCTCAAATGTTTTGAAAATTTTACCATGTCTAGATAAGGATAATATAAGTAAACAACCCAAATTTCAAGTTTTTACGAATGTTTTTAACCGAATTAAAACAAAAACACTCCCAAAATTAAAATGTCTATAAGTAGCTCAAAAATGGCTAAAATTCTCCAAACTTTAAACCGTAAGTAACTAAATCAAAAATATAATAAAAAAGATCTCTTGTCATTTTTCATTTGAAGCAATATTTCTGATAGAAAATGTCGTCCGTAATTATTTAATATTATAAAATCGTGAAATTGTATATTTTTTCTCCTCAAACAGCTTTTATTTCGTGTACCGTTTCTAAAATCGAAAAATGACCTCTCTAAAGTACCAGCTCAAGAATATTACTTAATATTTAGAAAAATGATGTACGATCATAGAATGGACCCAGATTTGAACACCAGCACGGTCAAAGCCTGGCAGGCCAGATGAGATGGAAGCTCCAGAAGACGATGGACGCACACCCTGATCCCACAAATTAAGCCCTGGACCAATAGAAAACACGGAGAAATTGACTACTGGCTGACTCAAGCTCTGACCGGCAACGGATGCTTCGGAGCATACTTGCACAAATACGGGAAATTAGCATCAGCAAAGTGCTGGTAATATGGACACCCTTTAGACGACGCACTCCACACTATATTCAAGTGCGACGCATTTGAAACTTGCAGAATCAGAGTGGAGGCAGAGGTTGGCAACGCTAACACCAGAATCAATGATCAAGATGATGCATAGGGACACGGAGAGCTATAACATCATAATCAGGCTCATTCACGAGGCCCTCCACACTTGTAGAAACATATAAAATCATATATACCACAACCGTTTTATTACTATTAAACGATGGTGGCTGGGGAGGAGGGCTGAAAATGACTAACGTCGGTACCACCCCCAATTATCGATAACTAATGTAAAAAAAAAACATGTTAGATAAGGATTATACATAATATCGACCTATAAATAAATTAGAAGTTAAATAAAACCATAACAACATACCTATAGTCATTGGTAAATAGTTGTACCTATACGTACATACCTAATTTGGGCTTACTACATATAGATGGTTTATGTATGTACTTAATAATTTATATATTACATACTAAACAAAAAACTCACCTCTGGCTCAAGCATAAGAACATCTTCAACAATGTCTGTATCAAATACTTGATCTACATCTTCGTCTTCGTTATCATTTTCTTTAGGTTCATTTTTTACAACTTGACCTTCTGACTCTTGCTGTTGATCATCTTGACCATTTTCGTCGCCGTCAACATTAAGCAAATAAGCCTCGATGTTTAATGGATATCGATCACCATATCTACCCAGTGATAAGAGTTCATTTAACAGCCAATGTCGATCCAAATATTGATCGACACTTTTAGGATGAATTTGCGTTAATGGACCAAATCCATGTGAATAGCTGTCTTGATTCCAGTGGCCCACTTCTATTTCAGCTGAGGGTGCTGAAGACCAAATTCCAAATGTAGGCCATAAACGATCACAACCTATAAGACTTAAAAGCAATGCCATCTGGAGCAATTGCTCCGAAAAGCCTTTTTTAATTCGTAACATCATTTTATTCTTGATTTTCTGTTAACAAATAAAAATTAAAAATTTAATTACAAATTATTAAAACAATACATTTTTGTTCTATATATTTACAAATACAATTATATACTGTTTTCAATGTTTTACAAATAACAATTATATCTATATCTCGTATCACCAATTTATTAATAACTAAGACTTGATTCAAAATATAAAAAATGGCTATAAATTAATTCAAGTTTTCATAGGAGTAAAAACAAATAATCTGAACAATATATTAAATGTAATAAAAAAAAACCAAACAAGGCAATTTTTAATAATTTGTTCGTGCACCTTGAAAGTTGAATAAACCTTCAGAGACTAACAACTCAACCGGTTGTGTTTCACTCCTTATGAAGTTCGAATAACACGGTGCTTATAAGATAATTTAAATACATTTTCAGTAATTAATGTTATTCCAAGTTATTTACAACATCGGCAACGATTAGGAAATGACGATCTTATACAAATTTTACCAAAATTGAGTACCTATTTATAAAAACTATGAAATAATTATTTTTTCGTTTATGTAAGTACGCAAATGATTATGCAAATAAAAATATGTATAAATTAACAAACTAATTTCTTTAAAAACACTATAGATCAAAAAATATCCAATATTAGAATTTGTAATTAAATTAATTATTATCAGCGAACTATAATTAATTAATAATTATTCCAGTACGTTAAAAAAAATGAATTCACAAGAGACTTGATTAATATAATTATTAATCAACAATGAAACTCAATTTTAAACTTCTTAAATTGCTATTACTTACCAATTCAAAAGAAAAATAACAAACCATTTTAAAGATATCAATATTTTAATATAATATATTTAAAAAATGACTCGTACTAACCATTTAAAATCAGGTTTAGCAACAGAAATGTCCTTGGTGAAATCGTTTACCTTATTAGTACAATACTATTATTGACGGTTTAGTAGTTGAAACGTTGGAAAAATACTAACACATAAAAAAGATTATAGACAGAAAAGGAGATTTTTTTATTGAATTATTGCGTTTTACTGGATAGAAAGAAAGTGTAACGGCAAGAGGTTTGACGACGTTTGTTATCAAATTAGTCGTTGTAATAAAGTTAATGTTAAAACAAAGAAGAACAGCATTTGGCAAAAGTCCCACCGAAATATTATTAAACAATGCATGAGAAAAAATTACAAATAATCACGAGTTCGTTGGTCCAGAAAAATATTAAATACACTTGGTACAAATTTCGGGTCATGGGCAATATATTTATAAATTTGTGCCAAAAATAAAGATAATAAAAACATTAGATTATGAGCAAAGCAAATTTATTAAATTATTATTTGAATTTTCTATGCATTTGTTTATAAATAAAATCCTCATGTTTAATTTTTACATAACAAATGATAATTCTATCACAATAATTTCAACTGTCAATTTAAGTAGGTTTATATGTTTAAAAATAGACAGGTTTAGTTGTAGCCTTAAGTAAATTTTAAATTTAAATAAATAGTTTTTTTAGGCTATTATTAACTTACAAATATAATATCTAACAATGTCTGGTAATTTAGAGTATTTTTCTTTAATGTCAAGAAAAACGTATTATTAGATATATCATATATAAATACATGCACAAAAAAATCTAAGAGAATAATTAAGATATAAAGATAATATTTAATACTAATAAAAGTTACACGGTATTGCCCAACTTTTATTTTTGCTTATTAAGATATTATAGGGCACATATGAATGCATATGAGATGTAGGAATTATTTCTAACATTATTTATTTTTAGTTTAATTTTCTGGTAAACAATATTTAAATAATAAATAAAATTAGTTAATGTATTTTGTATTTATATAAAAGTATTTACTAAGTAATTAAGTACCAAATAACAGAATTTTTTCTTAAATTTGATCTCGACCACCAGTATCATAAATTAGACAATTTTTACAAAATCAGGAACAAATTAATTTTAATAAAATTTAAAAATTTAATTTTTAATTATTGAAAAATTGTGTCTATTGCACTGAGTATATAATTTGTCCCTGCTGTAAATCTGAATAATTAGCATACAACAAAATCATAAATGATTTATTTTATTATTTAGTAATATTACCAAAAATAAAAATTGAAATAAATTATCTTTGAAAATCACAGGCATGTACAGACATCTTTTTAAGGTATGCAAAAGGCTACTACTGCCCCCTTTCTAATGAAAATTATTTTAAGCATTCAAAATTCTGATAAAAATAAACACACAAATATCTAAATAACTGTTTAATTTAAAATTTAAATTTTGGACTTGAAATAAAGTGACTGAATAACAATTTATTTATAGTTATAACTGTCTTTAAATTTAAATTTAAAATAAATTACGAAAAAAAATAATTAATCACTTGCAATGATTTGAGTAATATATTTAAATAGTGTAAATAAACAAAACAAACTCTTATACTTCAATGAAAAAAACAAAATAAATTTGAAAAATAATTAAAATTGATCCTAATACTGCATTCAGTTGAGTTTTTAAAATCATGAATATCTTCTGAATTAAAATTTATAGTTATTTCTTGCTCTATAGTTAAAAGTATTAAGCTATTTAATCTCTCTTGAAGCGTAGTACTTCTTGATTTCTTTATATATTAGTAAATAATTTACGTTTCAAAAAAAAATAATAATAATTATAGTGAATATAAAATCATATAATATAAACTTAAAGACCAAATATATCATGCTTTTCATTTATTTTTGGTAAGTACTTTTAGAAACAAGGCTCTGTTTTCAGGTTATGCAACTGCATAGCTTGCAGACACCCTGCGCACGTCTATGTTTAAAATATTTTCTAGCAAGAACGTAACTTCATTTAAAAACTTAATATATATAAATATAAATTAATAAATTAATAATAATTAAAAATCTCATTTTTAGGATAACACCACGAATTACATTAAGCCAGATGGTGCACTACCTATGCTGCAATGTAAATGCCTACTAATTAAATTATATTTAATGCAGTGTCACCACTCTCAAGTTAGGGTGAACATACTGTATAAATAATTGTATTGTACAAACATTTTACGATAATAATTGTTTAAATTTTTCTCAAGTAAACAAATTTTACATTATCACAGCGTCATAACAACAAAATACAGTGATACTCTTAAAACATGTATCATTTTCACATTAAGAATTCTTTTTTATTAATAGTGGTTTCACTGCATTGATTATAGTAAGGATTGTTTACATTTTCAAAAACACTGGAGTGCACCATCTGGTTTTACATAATCTGTGACATATATATTTTTAAAAGCACATATTTAATTTTGAATTAAAAATAGTAAATGTATAGAATGTTCTTTCAAGTTCTTTACAATTTGGTAGTAGGTAAATTATTAAACCTGAAAATTAATAAAAGTACTCAGAATAAAAATAAAATTAATTAAATATTGAATACAATACTTTTAATTACAATTAATTGTATAGTATGTATAATGATACATACAATTAAAATTTACACCTACAAACTGATAATTATTAGTAAAGAAAAATAATTATGTTTAGTCTTAAGCATTAAGGATAAAAATCTCAATGGCAGGAATGATAAAATATTTTCTTATACCTATTAAAAAATAATTTATTTCTTAGGTTTTTTTTAATTCTTAAACTTATGAGTATTGGCTATAAAAGTATAATATAAGACATTTGAAAAAAGAAAATTACATAATGTCATAATACAGGCTTTCATTAGGACTTAAGTAGTATTACATTCCACATCCAAGGAATCATAGAGCTAAGTACATATTTTAAAAATTATACCACTATTATAAAATATCCATTTCATTATTAAAATAAATTTCAATATGAGAAAACAAAACATTTACCTTATAGCTATATATTTAGTTAGAGTTGGTTATATAAATAGTAAAATTATAATTTTTTTCTTAGAATATATTAAGACAATCAAACGTATAATTTTGTATTAATTTTCTGAGGCATGTACATAACACTTTTAGTAAAAGCAGGGATAAAAATTCTGATTTTCAGCTTTACACAAAGTAAAATCAAGTATTAATTATTAAAACCTGACTTTACCTAGTGATTGGAATTTTATGATAACTTATATAGGTAAAGAATTAAAAAAAAAAATTAAAAACTTGAAATAACAATAAAATATGTAGGTTAGGTTAAGTTAAGTTGTTTTCTTAATATACAATAGGTTCATGTAATGTATTATAAGAAAAATACATAGTATCATACTAAATATTTTAAACAAACAAAATTGAATAACAATTTATAAATGTAAATATTGTACTAAAAAATATTAAATAAGAAAAATTTAGTATAAATTAAATATATATTTAAAATTAAATTCTTGAACATATATTTTAAGACTGTCTAATATATAAATGAGTAAAAATTATTTAAGACTTTTACTTCATAACATAATGGCCTAAATTTATTGGTTATTAATTCAAAGAAAAATGCAGTTGTTTTATGTTAAAATTAAAAAATATATTTAAATTCAAAATAATTTCTAAAAAATAAAATATAAAATTAATTTAATATAATGAAGAAGAATATATCATAGTAGTTTAAATAATCGTTATTATTGTTAAATATCCAAAAATTCTTTATGATAACCATAAGTTAGATAAAATAGAACTTTGTAAAATGATATATGTAATTAAGTATACTGTATTTTTACTTTGTTCAAAAATACTGAAATAGTGAGAAATTAGTAAGTAAATAATTAAAAGATAATCCAATTATATGTATAAAATCAATAAAATACTTAATAATACTTAACTTATTTTAAATTTTCATTTTATTGAAAAAAGTAGATAGTTTTAATAAATTAAAATTCATTACGTTAATACAGATATTCTCAATTTTAAAGTATAATTACATAATAACAATATGAGAATAAATCTCTAAATAAATTTACAAACAGTTCTATTTTCCAAAGACATAAAACTATCAACATTTTATACCTTGTGGTTTATATAATATTAATTAATTATTAGTAAAAATAAATGAAAAATTCTATACAAACTGAATCACTACATATCTTGCTATTTATTAAAACTTAAGTAATAAGTATAATCAAAATATAGGTTTACAGTTATAGGTAGCAAAGTCAAGGGAATAAAAATATTTCAATTAATGGACTATTTGAATAAAAAATATTAGTTCACCCTGGTCAAAAATGATATACATATAACACTATTATATAAAAGTAATATATATACATATATATAAAGGTTATATATTATTTTTATTTATTAGATATTTTAAAACATGACATCATACAGGCTATGTTTATTCATACCATGAATTAATTGACAATTAAATCAAAATTAAAACAAATAATTTAACTGATAACTTTATATTTATATTTAATAATATTTATAAACTATTATTTTATATCCTTTGAATTTAAATTGAATCTTTATATTTAAAAAGGTAATTAAAAAGTTAGATTAAATAGGTAAAAAGAAGCTTCTGATAAAATCTAAAAAACTAATGAAATTCTTATTATAATGAATTATGCCATTTTTTATACACAGATTAACATATATACTTGATACTTTAAATATATTAGTAATGTATTAAATAAATTAGTGTATAAACTTATTATATTATAAGAATTTTTTTTTTTCATTTTAATAATTTGGTGGCCAACAATTGAATGAACACATTAAGAATATGACTACAAAATTAAACAGTTTTATTGAATTGATTGATATAAATAAAATTATTAAATAATACAACAAATAAGGTGTTTTGACAATACTGTAACATAATTTGATAGGTCATTGCATTAATTAACCAAGAAATGTATAGTATTCACAACTTATTAAAAGTAAACAGTCGAGTATTTATTAAGTCCTTTGTGAATTTAAAGTTTTGATTTCAAATAAAGTAAACAAATCAAAAATTAAAATTAAAAATTTTATAATATGAAATTAAATGTACTGATATACATTTTTTATACAAGCATCCCAATTTAAGATTTTACAGCATGCAATAAAAACAAAACCATATTATTTATTAAATTAAAAAAAAAAACTTATAACTATAAGAAATATAGGTAAAAAGGTAAAATATCTAGATACAAGTAATAAAATTCATAAAATCTAAACATTAGGTAGCAAAGTAATATCAAATTACTAACATAAAAGATATAACCTAAAGTATAATATAAATACTTTAAGGAAATTCAAGTTTAGATATAATATATTGTTTAATTAAATAATTGAATATAACTTTTATAATGAAATACTTGATATAGGAAAAATACTAGACAAAAAATTTACAACAATAAATAGATAAATAATAAAGCTAATTCAACCAAAGTATAAAATCCATTTCCTAATACTATAATCATTACCAAACAAGAACATATAAATTAATAATTTTAGTGTTATTTTCAAACATAAAAATAATCGATGCAATTGTTAGATATTTCAATTAACTAACTAATATATGAGTACTTCATTTACATTTTGATCCTGATGACTTATAATACTTTATGAATTCATATTTAATATGACATATTTATATTTGATGAATTACCTTATGATAAAAGTTAAAACTGATCCACGAAATAAAGCTTCATGACAACAAACAATCAATTAAATAGTACCGCGCCAAAGACGAATAATACGCACAACAACGCGAACTTCGACGGAAAATATCATTACAGCGGCAATTCACACAAATAACTTTTTGTTTCAACAGAAATTTTAAAAATAAATTTAACGCGCAAAACAGTGACAGTATCAGAAAATAGAAAGAGAAAAGAAAAACGTAGTAAAAGTGCAATTTAAAAAATAATTTTCAAATATTCAACACATCCAACACCTAACAATCAAAAAAAAAAAATGACCAAAAAGATAACAAGGAAAATCCAGTTTCGTAAAGAATTTTGAGGAAAATAGAGGAAAGGTTATCAAATGATAACGACCGTCTATCCTGTGGTTGTACCATGTAATGAGTTACCATCGGTACCCCATATCTCAGCATTAAATCCCCTCCTTTTTTTCATATTTATGAAATGTGAATAACAGGTTTCAGTTCTATGTAATAACATGATCAAAGATTTCAGATTTCATTATTTAAGTTTTAGCAGGCTACATAATTTGTAAAAATTTTACGTTGTAATTACAATTATTTGCTAATTAGTGATTCGTTTATTCGTATAGTCATTTTCTTGTATTGAATATGGTGTATACTTTTATTTATTGTGTTATATGTAACAATTGATATTACTATTATGGATAAATTAGACTATAATGAAAGGTAAAATTAATTTTTAACTCATTTTATAATTCCAATTAAATTATTGTTACATAATTTACAATTATTTTGCAGTATTGTTAGCAAGAGTGTTGAATACTGGCAAAATTTATATGATAAAGGTATTATTGAAGAACATGCATTTTATTTAAGATTAAATAATTTAAAATATGCTGTTGATAAAAATTTGATTACAAGTGAAGAATATTATACACACAGTTCCCGCTATAAGTTATATAGACCATCCTACATTAATTACAAACCATATTCCTTATTGGATTTTAGTAAAAGGTTAAAGTCTTGTTCAATAAATCATCAAAAAATTGATCAATCCATTCAACTTATTCAATATGATGAAAAAAAAACATTTAAAGCAAAAAAAAATATTGAAAATATTAATTTGCAACATAAAACAACATTAGATTTAAATAAATTGTATAAACATATAGAACAAGAAAGTAATCAACTAAAAGTGGATAAAAAATCAAAGAGAAAACGTAAAAAAAAGAACAATTTAAATGGAAATAGTTATTACAGGAATACTGTTAGGACTGATATAACAGAAAATAATGACTATGAATTGAAACAAAATGAAAATTCTGTAAAACAAAATTTGGAAAAATCAAAAAATTCTGTTAAAATATTTGTACGAAAAATAAATAAGGAGCATAAAAATGAAACTGTTAACAAAATATCAAATATTTCAACTAAAAAATCTGTCAGAGAAGTATTTAGTAGAATTGTTAAACAACTTAAAATGGAAAGATAATTGCAATGTTAGGTCAATAATAAATTAATTAGTTATCATAATAGTTTTAAATACTAATAATCAAAAATGATGTAATTAATAGATACATAATTTTTTATTTTTTTTTTAAGTCAAGTTGTTTTTATAATAGTCTTATCAATATTAATTCTTATCAATGTTTTAATTCAATATTTATTGTGGTATTTATTTTAAACATTTTTTTAAGTTCATACATTTTGTAATTATTGTACATTAAAATTATAAATAATTTTTTAAAAATTATAATATTGTTTTTATTGATGTTGAAGTTATTCAGATTCTTAATAAATATAATATAATAGGTCTATATGTTAGTGTATTTCATTAAACATATACTATTATGACTGATTCTATGAATAAAGAACTTATAAAACAAGTACAATCATCCTTGTCTAAACACATCAATAAACCACAGTTAACTGAAAAGTTACTGAATAAACCACCATTTAAATTCCTTCATGATATTGTCACAAATGTAAGTCTTAACTTTTATTAAGTAGAGCCCTTTAATTACTTTATATAAATATATTAAATAAGTAGTTATTAGTATTTGATGTAAAGTCTAAGGTACATAAGTCTTCTTCTGGTGTTTTGAAAGGTGATCAATTGTCCCCATTCCTCCCTTTGTTATTTGTAAACAGTGCTAACAGAGATAAATTATTGCAAACTGCTTTGTTTTGCTGATGACATGAAGTTATTTATGCAAATCAATTATCTTGATGATTGACCTAAATATTCTTTAATTATGTCGTCCTATGAACTTATTAATACACTAATTTCACATATGTAAACGATAGTTAACTTAGGTTTTAAGTTCAACTGTTCTCTTGATCCTGGACCACTTATCAATATATGTTATAAAGTTTACAAAATGGTTTTGTAAAAAGACTAGCCCACAACTTTAAACTAGGATTTTCTTTAAAAATTCGCTTTTCGTCACTTGTCTGTTCTATTTAAGAATATGGTGCTGTTCTTTAAAATTTGCATACTGCAGGTAACTCCTGTCAACTTAAAATGGTTCAATGAACATTTATCAGTTTCCCTAAATTTATTCTACAAATACACCATCTACTACTTAATTTCACCCCTGTTTCCAAATTTTTTTATTATGGATACCCTTTCTAGTCGAAAAATTAATCTCAAGTTTAAATTTTTGAATTTATTGGTGTCTGGAGAAATAAATTATCTTTACATCTTAAGTGTAATTAACTAGGGTGCCACAATGTAGTTCTAGAAATTTTACTCCTTTCTACATTTCTCTTTGCACCTCAAATTACTTAATGAATGAACCTATCACAAGATTAATGTCTCTTGTTGACACTTCCTGCCTTTGTTAATACTTATAACATATCTATATTTATATTTATAACTTTTATGTATTTTTGTAATCATGTAATTGTAACTAAAATTTAATTTTAAATCTGTATATTTCTAATTTTTTTTCCTAAAGGCTAGTTCTATAAATATAATATAATAATAATAAATATGAATATGAATAATGACTTATTTTTAATTGATTTCATTTAATCATCTAATTTCCAATATATATTAGATTTAAAAGAAAAAAAAAGTATTTCATATCTTATTTCTAAAATATCTACTAACATATTCTCAATAAAAATTATATACAATTTATTTTGAGTAAGACTAGTTAGAGTTTATATTTTAATTTATAAAACTAAGTGAATAATTTTAATTTTTTAAGGTGATTTGTAGTACTGGTTATTTGTCGGACATTTTTACCAATGAAGAAATTATATCTACAAATGTGACTACTAAAGAAACTAAAATTAAGTTTTTAAATAAGCTAATTGCTGCTATTCGTAAGTTATATATGTATTTAATTTAAATTAATACCTATCCAGTTATGTATTTATATGCAAACACTATAAGCATGTGCCTGCAGCGGAAAACTTGAATAATTTATTTTGTTAATAATTATTAATAAAAATGGTTTTAATCTTAAGAAATTATATTTTAGTATTTAAATAATTTTTTTTTTGTATTTTTACCTAATTAATATATAATGTAAAGTTGGTAATTAAATGATAATTCAATTAGTGAATTATTTCATTTAGTTATTTTGAGCGGCAATTTTCCACTGATCTACTTGATGAAACATATAAATACACCCCTGTACCTATCCATATTAAATTTAAACTTTTTACTTTTTTTATAATAACTAGATTTTAATGACCTGTAAAGAAATTAAGTAACAAATAATATAGTTACTTGAATTATTAAACTAATATACATATTTAAGATAAAAAAAAAATTAAAAGTTAAATACCTTATAACACAAGAATAAATTTGTTGAAAATCTAAATACAATGGTAAAAACTTATTAACATGATTTTTTTCTTTAAAAAAAGAGTAAATTTTATTAATCTGAAAACAATATTTATTTTTATATAAATTTAAATATTATTAATCATATTAAAGTACTACATTTTTAGAATATAATATAATCTTCTATTTCTTTTGCCGAAATCAATCTTTTGAAATGTTGGACCATCTCTGTCCTATACTACAACATTTCAATTTTCAATGTCCATCCCTATGAAGTCTTCCTCTACTCCATCTAGCCATATTTTCTGTGTCTGCCTTGTGATCTATTTAGAATATAATATAAAATGATTATTATTTGTATTTAGGGTGTCCATTCATAATTCATTTTTAGGATATTTTCTTGTTCATTAAAGGGTAAAATTTAACTACTAAAATTAGTAATGAACATAATATATTTGTACTTTTATGAATAAAAAAATGTTATATTAATTATAGGTGAATAATTTTATACTAATTTGATTGAAATATTTTTAAAGTAAAAATACTATTCATATATTTATATATATTTTTATTTAACATTTAATCAGTGTATACAATTACTATTTATCTAACTCAATCGTTATAAAGAAAAGGAAAATCACAATGTATTCTATACTATGTTTACAAGTAAATGTATGCATTTTTTAATAAAATTAATAGTCCAAAAGTTATTATTTTTAATATAAGCTGAAAAACTTTTTTGGTTTTTCTCAATAGAAAATGTATAAAAACAATAAACTATATATTAATGTAAAAAAAAATATATAAAATCATGATAATCTATTGCACTGATGTTTGTTTTTAGAATCAACAACAACTAAAACAATATCAGCAAGACCCTCCAAAATTGTTGCCGGACTTGAAGTAACTAAAACTTTAGAACTTCTCTTAGCAATTGCTTCTGGAATAGAATTAAAGGTAAAATATATTTTGTTTCTATTTAAAATTCTTATTTTAATATGATTTTTTATCTAGAATAAAGAAATTAAAGAACAAAAATTGACTCATACAAAACCTAAGAAATTAGAAACCACTAAAATTAATAATCAAAATAAGATTAAAGTGTTAGAAAAAACCAAATCACAAGAAAAAAATATTAAAGAAATAATTGAACATGATTCTAAAAAAAATATACAAAAACCCAATAGTGTAGAAACATCCATGGTTAAAAATGAGGAATTGGTTAGCATAGAATATAATACAACAAATATATCTTCTCTTGAAAGTGCTGTTAAACCAATCAATGAAGAAACAAAAAATATTATTAATATTTCTCCTGATACTAAGTAATTTAAAAATTATATACCTATTATTTTAAAAATTTTTAAAATATGAATATAATTTACTGATTTAGTGAGCAAAATGACAGTGAATTGCAATCAACAATAAAATCCAAACCAGAAAATCTAGATTCAGAATTAAAAAAAATTAATCAAGAAGAAAATCAACTTCAAAAGTTGAGTGATACACATAATGTAGCTAAATCTCTAAGGCCTAAAAGCTCTAGACCCCCTGCTCCCAACCGACGTCCACAATCTAATACCTATACTGAGTAAATAATTAAATTAGATTTTTTAAATATTTTATATTTATTTTATTTTTTTGTAATAGAATTCCCAAACATTCTGACAGTTTTTTTTCAAAAAATAATGATCTTATAAATGATCTTGATGACAATATTGTTACAATTGAAGTTTTGAATGAAAATAAACCATCTTATGATTCTTATACCCAGGTAATATAATTTTTAAATAACAATATTTAAAAAATAAGTTTTGTAGTACAATAATTAATGTGATTATAATAATAATAATTTTGTTATGCATTATTCATTTTTAGGGGGATGGACAAGGTCAACTTGTATCACAAATACTTCAAACACAATTGGATTTTAATATAAAAAAAACAGATTCTTCAAAAGTAGTAAGAAAAAAAAATTTTAGTTAATTTTATCATTTGGTTTATTAAAATATATATTTGGCTTGGAAAAATAGGAATGGGATGGGAAAAATGTAAAAGATCAAGAAATACTAACGAAACAAATGGACACAATTAGGCAATTCATTCAAGACATAACAAAATCTGCAAATCCATTAAGTAAACTTATCAACAATATGCAAGAAAATATTGATCAAATGAATCGAGAGTTGATCTATTGGACTAATTTTACGGAAAAAAATAATGGAAAACTTGATTTACAACTAAGGTAATCCACTGAAGTTTATATTATTCAATACATATTACTATGGACCAGCATTTCCCAAACTGTGGCCGCACGTATACCAAAGGTAGTCCTCAAACGTAAATTAAAAATACACAAAGCACCTATCTATAAAAACAAAAATACTGATATATTACTTATATTACATGGGAAATACTGATGATAATAAATACATTCTCGAAATAGTTATCGTTAAAAAGCAATTATAACGACAGGCGTGATCACATTGGTATATCATTATTTATCATAAAAATATGTGCATTTAGTTCAGAAAATAAAGAGAATCAATTTAGTACTATTATTTATTATTGTTTTTAATTTTTATTTGTATTAAGGGGTCCGTGATCATTTTTATTATCTCTAAGCGGTCCGACAGAGAAAAAGTTTGGGAAACGCTTCTATAGATAGACTGATGTTTTTTTTTTTTTTTTTACAGGATGTCTGAAGAAAAAATTAAGCCCATGGTTATATTATTAGAAAAAATAAAATTTGATATAAAGGATGAATCAGAAATTATGGATTATTGTCGAGCAAACATTATAAAAAATAAATCTCATATTAACTATTTGATTTCAGAACGATTTACATTAAAAAAATAATTGGAATACATATATTTAAAGGGGCAAAATTAAATTTTAATTGTTATTATTATTATTTAGTGTCTTGTATCTAGTGCCGCAATAACCAACTGTGTTGCATGTGTCAAACACACTAGCCCTTCAGTTTATAATGGGGTTCAATGATAAAAATTGAAACATTTGTTGACAGAAAATAAAACCATTAGGTTAAAATGTTGAGATTGAACAATAATTTTTTTTGTACACATTATCTTACATCAATATTTCTTTTGCGGCCCTTATTACTGAAATTAAAAATAATTTGGTTACAATTGATTAAAGGTATAGCCTGCAACATTCCAACTTGGGAAAAAGGGGCGGGGGACATTAATTTTATTTACACACGATCCCAAATTAGTGTAGTTGCGGCACTGCTAATCTCCATTAACTATATTATTTGTTAGTCTATTTATTTAATCACTTAACTATTTTGATCTCACATTGGAAAGTAATTTTGTTTAGACTTTATTATTTATTAAAAATTTACTTATTTATGAGAACTTAAATATTTAATTCACAAATGATTATTGCTTCGAATTACGGAGTATTTTTTTGAATATTTTTATTTTTATCAATAAATGTTGTGAAATTTTCAATTACTAGTTCTTCTATTGTTTTTATACTATTTTAATATGTCCAATAAGCTTGCGCACGGGGTAGTCAAGGTAAGCACTTGACTACTCTGTAAACCTTCCCTGCCTCACCAAAATATTTAATATTATCACAATAACTATATTATGTTCAACCACTTCGAAACTTCCATAAACGGTAAATACATGTATAAGAATATTAGAAAAATAAAATAATTAAGTTAAATTAAGTTACTTCATCCAAATGTGTTGTTAATATTAAATTTTAATGTGTTATGTATCCTAATACCTTGCCAATAATGTCTGCGCATGCTTATGAATATGTCCATTATTTTCAGCAACTGATTTACTTGTTCCTAGAGGGACTGTTTAAAATAAAATATCTACAAATAAAATAATTTCTATATATATATATTAATATATTTTTTTACAGAAAACCATTTTATACTAGTTATTCGGTTTTTATTGTTAAAAATAAATCTGTTGTTATAATGGTTAGTGCAGTTATAAGAATATAAATTAAATGAAAGATTTATCTAAAATATCTCTTAAATATCTTATTATTTAGAAATAAATAATATATTTCAGTAAAAATGTATCCTCACTATACCGATTAAAAAGACGAATTGGCTACTTCAAACTCGGCATGCTTTATATATATTTTTGTAGTCACGTTACTATAGGGTTTTGCCAAGATGAATATTGAGAAAGGTGTTATTTTAGTAGCTGCTGCAGCTTTAATTGTTGATTTTTGTTGATTGTTGTACAATATATATATGTGTGTTACCGGCAATATGGATAATTCAGTTATTTTGCAAAATACCTAGGCATCATAGGCGTGCGTAGACCTCTTTTACAAGGTATACGAAAGGCTGCCGCTATCAACTCCTGTCATCAATGAAAGTTAATTTAAGCGTTCAAAATTCTGATAAAAATATATATACAAATGTCTAAGTAACTGTTTAATTTGAAATTTTAATTTTTTTTTCCTAAAAAAAGTGACTGAATAGCAATTTCTTAATTGTTATAACTGTCTTCATAATTAAAATTAAAAATTTTCAAAATACCAATTTGGATTTGAGAAAAGCAGTTTGTTTGACATAAGATACACTAGAAGAATCGTAAAATCTTCGAAACTCAGCTGAAAATAGTTTTAATATTATTTTCCAAAATGCGTATAGACTAGCAATAAAGTTAGACCTTCCAATTAATCTACCAAGACTTTAAAAAAAAACTGATTTAATTGCGAGGCCAATTCGTCAAAAGAATATTTTAGAATTTCTATTTTTATACATTTTTTAAATAAAGTTTCGATTTATTAATCACAAAACAACACTCTCTGGATTTCAAACATTATTCTCTGAAATATCTTCAAATACTAAAGGTTTCTATAAGTTAGCTAAACGTTATGAAGTAGATATTTTAAATCATAATAAAGACGTATTACTTTTGTTATTCAAAATTTGGATCCGAAAAATAAACACACTTTCCGTCAAACCTAAATATGCTATGGAAGCTCTTATGATATGCAATTACTTCTACCCAAACATATTTAAGTTATTACAAATTTTCGCAACTTTACCATTTTCAACAGCAACTGCATAACGGTCTTTTACACTATGTGTACAAATAAATATATAAATTTGAATAATAATTAATAAAATTTATTTATTTTTTTGGTTTAGAAAAGGCTTAATGGCCTTGCTTTATTATCAATTCATTGAAAGCTAACTTTTGAAATGATTGACGATTTAGTCAATAAAAATAGAAAAATTGATTTTATTCTATAATATACAACACTTTTTGTTTACTTATATACTTATTATATCTACTATTATTTAAATAAGTTTTTTGGCCATAAGTCTTTAATTTGTACGAATTTGTTATTAACTTATTAATAGTTTAAATTAAGAAAAAAAAATTTAATTAAATATAAAGTGATATCAGCATATATTTTTTTCTTTTTCTCTGGCACCGCAAACTCATACATACATATTAGTCAATAAATGAATCTAAAACCATAATTTTGGATTATATAGACTATAATTTATAAAAAATAACATATTGTAATGGTAAAACTTGGTATAAGTATATGTGATTATGATTACACCCCCATCCTACCAGAAAAAAATTCTAAATACAACATTGTGAATAAGTATTAAGTATTGTTTCCTGTATGACTTGTCACATGACTGTCCATAAATGATAATACAAATATTACGAATATCCGTTTCCAATATAGTTTTCTACATTTGTCATAATTTTTATTTATTTTTTGTATTTTTAGAAAGAAGGCTCTATTTTTAGGGTATGCAGCTGCATATCCTACATGCTCCATGCGCACGCCTATGCTAGGCATTATGCAAAATGCCAATTTTTTTTTAGGCAAAGTACAAAACATTTTATTATATGTTATATTACGTTAAGATTCTTATAATTATTATACATTATTACTCATATTACAGATAAAATTTCATTTTTATCTATTATTATTATTATAATACAAAATTTTTATTCAAACTATTATTTACTTATTCTAACATGTTGTGGAAAAGTGACATTTTGAAGTACACAAAATTTTATTTTTAAGGCAAATACACTTTTTATTTTGGTAATAGACGATATCCAATTTTGTTTATTTTCATCATATTGCTTACTCCACGTTTGGCATTATACATTATATTTAGGCAAAGATCGTATTACATATATTGCCGAGTGATTTTTGGCATTATATATAATGCCTAGATCTTTTGCAAAATACCGGATTATCCATATTGCCGGTAACATATATATTATACTTGTATAATATAATAATAACAATTTTCTATTAGCTTTCAATATTAAAATTATTATAGATCAACAGTTATAACTATATAAACTATAATATATGTAATATTTATATATTATATAAATAAAAAGAAAAAATCAAGAGAATGAAAAAATTAATTAATTAATAAACCAAGAATAAATGTACTTTAGTAAATAAAATACAAAAAAAAAGGTAATTATATTAAAATCAAATTACCTATGAATCTAGAATTTTCGAAAAATATTAGTATACTAATAACAATGGGTTTAGAAAAATAGTTAAAAATAATTTGTGGATCAACTAAGATCATATTGTTACTATGTAAAAATTTAAATATTTTTAAATGTGAACCAGTGAGTGATGGACAATTTAAGAAAATGTGAATTAAGTTACAATTAACTTCCTCGGCATAACGTGTACAAAGAAAATCATTTAAAAAAAGTTAAAGGCAAGAGCCGGTAATAATTATTTTCTAATGAAAGCCTAGAAAACCGAATCATAAGATACTTAATTAAAGACTGTTCATGGACACCTGAGTGTGATGAAATAACTGGGGTTATATCAAGTAACATTATCAGGTGCTACTGATGACCACATGTTTTGCCAACCCCAATTTAAATTGATTTTGAGTAAATTTCATATAATTAATTATAAATTATAATCTTTTTTAAATTGTATCTTTATCAATTCTAAAAGAAATGCTTATTTTAAACAAAGCATCATGACATTTATTCTGTACTTGTAATCCGTCAGATGATTATTCCAAAGCAAAGGATGCTAACGGCACATTTCATTAAATGTGAAGTTACTTCATTCAATTTTTTTCTTCTTCTTCTTCTTCAAAAAAAAAAAAAAATAGATATCAATTTTAAAAAATACAAAATTAAATAATTGGAGTATAATAAAAGTTTTGGACGCACCAAATGCCGACTAAGGATGAACCGAAACACGTCTCCACTAGAAAAGTTGGTTCAGCTTTCTATGATATAAACTGCCAGTGTGCGGGTTACGTTGGACAAATTATTCGGCCTGATAATGAAGCCGACCGTCACGTTTGCATAAGTACAGCTTTGGCGATCAGCATAATGAGAACGTACCTAAATATGGACTATGGTGATTGCATAATTGACTTTTAAAAAGAGTTAGACCTAATGTATTATTTCTGAACGTAATTTTTCCTCATCATAATCTAACACCAAACGAGGATTATATTATTATTTATATCAAATTTCATTTCAATATTTATATCAAAAAGAAAAAATATGTCAGATATTTTGTATAACGGTGTACGAATATGCAATTTAACACCACACGTGCGTTGTGTTACATTTTATAATAACTATAGTTTTTATATTATGTTACGTCGTGGCAATGCTACCGCAGTTGTCCTTGTTAATTTATTATTATTATATTTTAATAAATATTATTAAAACAATTTTAAAATTCTGGAAATACATTTTTAAATTTAGTGGTGTAGTAATGGGTAAACTCTCAAAGTCTTTCTTATCTAACTTGCTCAAAAAAGTGTTTAGTCGCTCCCATTTAAAATTCCTGGTTACACTACTGGCTTATAGTCATACTTATTGAGTTCTAAATACATTACCATTAAGTAATTTAAAAATATCAAACTTCTAGTAAATAAAAGATTATATACCTACTACAAAAATTACTCTAAAAATGTACGCCCAGGGATAGATCTCTGTCTTTATTCTCTTAGCTCAGTCTCTGCTCGTAATTTAAATTTTTTAAATAGTTTATTATTATTTTTTTAGTATTTATTATATTCTAATTCTCAAGTTCCTAGAATTATTATACATATCCCATTGTTTCAACATTAGCTCTAAACTATTTAAAAATTAGTTTAAAACACATATTTTATATTAAAAGCATGTTTTAAATAATGTTGACGAGGTTTCAATTTAATTTTTTAAAACGATTTTAAATATTTTGAATAAAATACTTTGTTTTAAACAAAATAACTCTGATTTTAATGCGTATCCTATAATATTTTATCATAGTATTTAAATATTATAAATTACTATTGATTTTATAATAAATTATATCAGTTATCTCAATTGTGTTATGTTTTTAAACATTATTTTTTACTCAAATATTATTAAAATATTTACGGACTATGGTTAAAAATGCTGAAAAGTAAAAAATCTTATATAAATTAATGACTGTAATTCAATTATGAAAAGAACAATAAAATAAAAATCAATTTTTTATTCGTACAATTAAAAATATAAATACAATTAATTTATATTCATGTTATGAATATAAATCAATTATATTTATATATATATTTACATATTATGTATTGTTAATAAACGAATTCCTGACCAAAATAGTAGATATTAACGGGCATCATTTAGAGTAAAATCAAAAAGTAGCGAACATCTCTTAATTCAATTTTAGTCTAATGAAGCTAGGGAGTAATTGGTGGATTTATAAGTCCTAACCTAGTTAACTTAAGTTAAAACATTAAATTAATAAAGAAGAAATTTCGAATAAAAAAAATAAAGATTTACCTAAATAAAAATGTAATATTAATAAGTAGATAAATAATTTAATATACATTTTTATTTATTTATCATAATTAAGTTTGTTAGGGCCGGATATGTAATGTAATAATACGTAGTTCCAGGAGCATATTTTAGGGGAGGGGGGATATATGTGAGATACACATATAAATTTTTTTTAATGTGGATCATTTTAAAACGAAATCAAATTATGCGTGGCTATGAATATTGAATTGAGATTTTTGTTAAGTCCATACTTAGTGAAAAATCAAATAAGACACAAGCGTAACTTTCAAAACACAGACAGATGTTAAAAAAAACTACACAAAATTCGATTCTAAGTGGATCCAGCATTAGATTAAAAAGAAAAAACCACAAATATTAAGGATTCACCCAATTTAAATATTACCAAAATTTGACTTTTAAATGTTGAGCCTGAATTAAAGAAAAAATTTGAGCCCCCCCCTAGAAGTATGTCTAAATACACCCCTGTGTGTTTCCATACACTAAAAAAATGTTTTATTGAAATTTTATTAGTTTTTATTTAAAGGATAATACGCCTTGTATTTAAATATTGAATATTTCTTATACAAAAAAATATTTATAATAATAATAATAATAAAAAAAAAAAAATAACAAAATAATAATAATAATAATAAGACTAACGCAACCCCACACGACACACAATAGAAAAATATACATACAAAATAACAATATGGCTCATGTAGCACACAACAAGAATATTAAATAAATAAGTATAAATTAAAAGCACGTATAATTGGTACTTTTGGCCCAACAGCAATAATAAATAATAAAATAAAACTCACAGTTGTCGGTGCATAGTCTAGCTTCAGCAACCTAGCCTAAATAATCAATAATCAAAAATAAAAATAAAACAATAATATATATATATATTTTTTTCAAAGGCTTTTACGAGCCATTTAGACTCTTGGCCGCCAAAACTACTTCCCTCCACCTCACTCCATCATATACCTGTTCCCAGTCCACTCCGATGTCTTCTAATAATTCTTTGACGTTGTCCTTCCATCTTTTCCTTGGTCTTCCCCTTGCCATATATGTCAATGCTCCTTTCAATATACTTCCATTGGCCCACCATACATGGCCTGCCCATTCTATTTTTGTCCCTCTGGTGAATTGGACCACATCTTCTCTTTTGTAAAGCTGATATATTTGGGCGTTCATTCTTATTTCTCATTTCTGTTCTATATTATTCAATACAGGTTCATAAATATTTCTAAGAACTTTTTTCTCAAATAACTTTAGGTTTTCATCATCACCTCTCATCGTTACTCATGTGGCACATGCATATGTCAATACAGGGCGGATGTAACTGATGTATAGATGTTGTTTTGTCTTCCTTGACAACAGCTTAGATTTAAAGAAGGTTTTCAGCACATAAAGGCATCGGTTAGCCGCGCCATATCTGATATTGATCTCTCCATGTATGTTGTTTTGGTTATTTAGGGTAGACCCAAGATATTTGAACTTTTGTACTTATTCAAAGGTGTTATTTCCCACGTGGAGGTTATTATAGTCACCCCCTCCTCGTCTTACCTTCATGTATTTAGTTTTTCCACTGTTGATTGTCAAGCCAATATTTTTTTCTATCTTTATCAGTTCTTCAACAGTATTCTGAATACCTTTTCGCGAGTTCCCAATAACCACTATATCGTCTGCATATGCTAGTAAGACATTTCCTTCGTCAAGGTTTAATGTCTCAGTTCGCAGTATCTTTCTAATTATTCTCTCCAGTGCCATATTGAAAAGTGCTGGTGACTTTGCATCCCCTTACTTCAATCCACTATTTATTATGAACGAAAATGATATCTCGTTGTTCACCTTGACTCAGCTGCTGATATTCGTGTTACACAGTTTTATCATGTTGATTAATTTAGTTGGTAAACCAAAGTATTTAAGAATTTTCCATAGTTTTTTTTCATTAATGCTATCATATGCTTGTTTGTAATCTACAAAAACCATATGTAGATCCTTCGCGAACTCGTAACTTTTTCCATAATTTGTCTTATGACAAATATGTGTTGATTTATTTTTCCTGAATCCGCTTTAATAATTACCTACTATCTCGTCTGTATAAATTTGCAATTTTTTGAGTATAATTAATGGTAATACCCTATACCCAGTGTTTAACAGTGTTATTCCTCTATAATTCTCTACTTTTTTTCGGTTACCTTTTTTGAAAATTGGGCATATTTGCTCAATTATAAAATAAAATGATGCAAAATAATATTCAAATCGCTTAGTTTCTATATATTATTCATTCATTACATGGGACACAAATTGATAACAACGCGCTCTAGTGGCGAAAATAGCCGAAATGATTTATAGGGCTTTTTTTTTTTTTTTAATTGATCCACCTTACATATCCACCAAGGTGGATATATACCCACCTTGATATCCCCTTAGTTCTACAATCAAAAATGTTATGATATAAGAAGATAAACAAAAATTGATACCCATGACCAAAATGACATATTATTGAATTTATTATCATATTATAATGATAAACTAATAATTTATATTCCTAATTATTTATATATTACATTTTTTAAATAAATCAATGTATTATATTAAAAAAAAATACAATCATGGAGGGTGAATGCCCCCTTCACCACCCCCTCAAATACACCCTTGAAAAGTCCCATCTAAGTATTGAGATTATGTTTTAAAATCGATATCTTTATCAAATATTAATATATATTTTATAAATTTAACCAACCATTTTATAAATCAATTTTACCTCTCTCTAAGCGCGGTCCATTCTTTTATATGTCTATACATTACGTTCACACTTTTTGAAGGTAGGGATCAGAAAATTTCGTATTACTTTCTTGGTCACACTGTTCTTTACAATCTTTTATCAACCTGTTTTTCGCATTTATTTACAACTTCAGTAACTCGTATGCGTACCGTCCGTGTAACGTGTTGCCATTCATGTATCCTTCAGTAAAGTTTTTTTTTTAATTTATTAAGTTCGTTCGACTTATCGAAAGTTCTATACTCATATACATCGGAAATTATTATTTTTTTATTTAAATTTCTATATTTTATGTGAATAATGTCGAGTTTTAAACAAACGCCATTAACCTGCAGTGGACACACCAGGCCTGTTGTACACTTGGATTTCAGCGACATCACCGACTATGGATATTTCTTAATGTCCGCGTGCAAAGGTTATTTAATGTATTTTAACTGTGTCAGTGTGTTTATTAATTTTTTTATTAATTTCGTTGATTCAGATGGAAAACCCATGTTGAGACAAGGAGATACTGGTGATTGGATTGGTACATTTGAAGGCCACAAAGGTGCCGTTTGGGGGGTAGCCTTGAACAAAGAAGCGACAGTAGCTGCAAGTGGTGCTGCAGATTTTGAAGCTAAGGTACGAATGCTGATTTTTTTATAATGAAATATAACTAGTGTCAGCCTTGAATTTAACTTCCTCATATGATTATTGTTTATTTGCTTCCTAGATCATTGTAGTACATGTATGTATGTTGACATTGTTCATTTTTTCTATAAAATAATGGTAATTCATTTTATAATTACAATAAAGAAACATTAATTCTTTGGATTCATAATAAATATATAATATCAATATTAATATACATACTTATAACAGTATATACAAATATGAAAAATATGATTGAATTACACTTGATAAATTATCTAACATTTAAAAATCAAATAATAGGTAATACATTTAATATTATATGGACAAATACCTACTTTTTTAAATGCTAATATAAATCTTTTTGAGAAATTATTGGAAAAATATAAATATTTTAAAGATTGTAATTTTTATTAATTGTACTCTTTATAGATGATAAAAAAATTATATCCATTTTAAGGTTTAATGATAAATTAACAAATTATAATTTTATCTTATTAAGAGATTGAATTACATTTGATTGATACTTAAACATAGGAAATTCAATGGAATACACTTGCTGCCCCTGGCTTAAAAAAAAAACTAAATTATAAAATTTAAAAATTTCAGATTGAGACTACTTTTATCAGATTTTCTAGTAGCCTGCACTACTTTATAGCCATAAAAAAACTAAAATAACTTTGTATTTTCATACAGTTTGAAAAAATATTCCTTTATATTTATTTTATTACCTATATCTTAAATAATTTAAGTATTGTTAGTATAAACACATTCCCTTATTAAAGTTCCTGACTGTACCTTGAGCTATTTAAATTTGATTTTTCTAACAATTTATATTTTCTATTTATGTGTTAACAGTATTTTCCAAATCTTAAATATTATTGAACAGTCTTTGATTATCTATAAATAACTTTCAATTTTTTTATAATATTCACAAAATTGTATAAGTATTTCATGTTTTCATTTATTATTATTATTAATTAATGAAAATATCAAACCATTGTGGGTTAAAATTATACTTAACTTGCTTTTAATTTTATAAAAGTTAAGATTAAAATTGAAAATGTTAAATTAATAATTATTTTTAATTTTTACTTAAGATATTTTTATTAATATATACTTCAAGATGTTTAATTAGTAAACACCTAATAACTATTACGTCAGTTATATCTTATTTCTAAATTTAAAATACATATTCATTAATGCCTTAAATGTTAGTCTTAATGTCTTAATATTTGTCTTAAATTTTAAATGATTATAAGTTAAATAAAGTAGTTACATTATATAAACTTAAACAAATCTTTATATTAATTTAAAATTGATATAATTAAATTGATTATGCTGTTATGAAATTTTGAATAAAAACAAACTTAATATTTTATTGTCACTGTAAAAGTATATTTATTCTTCCATTTTTTATTTTACTTCAAAATCATAATTTGAATTATAGTTATTTAAGAAGAGTTACATTTTATTGTCTGTTATAAAAATGACCATAGTTGTTTTTGACCATAATATTATAAATATTATTAATCAGCTCATGTAATCGATTTACATTCATCAAGGATAAATTCATGTAAAATGGGATATTATTTTGCTTATTCAAACAGCATAAAATTATTTTATGACTTAAATATTTTAAGAATTTCAAAATATATATTTAGTTCTTAATTAACGAATTACAAACCTTGATTTATATTTAAATTAAAAACTATTTTTTTATTCATATTATAAATAAAAATAACATTATTGTAAATAATTATATACAAAATATGTACAAATTAAATTTAAAAAAATAATACCTTTACTGTGGAAATTATTTGTCATTATTCAATTTAAATTTTAATAGTTAACTCTAAAACATAATCTAGATATTTGAGTAAATTTTTTAAAAATTAAATTTGAATTTTATACCTATAGGTAGTATTTAATAGTTTTTTTAAAAAATGTATTCTATTTATAACACATTCCTGCTTTTTGCACTAAACCATAAATAATGATTTTTCAATTCATTTTTTTTAAAGAAGTTTTAGTTCTAGTTTTTCATATCACATTTTTTTTCTCATTTTGTTTTGTCATATATTGGAATATAGTATATAATTATATTTTATATATTTTTATGTTCTATAATATTTTTTTTTAATTTTAATCATTACCATTGAATTATTGTATTAAGTTTTAATTATAAAATTGTGATTAACTATTATATATTTATTAATTAATCAAAACTATAGTTATTTCTCATGAGCAGAGCTCGGGATTTTATGCATTTGCATATTTATTTGGGAAGTATATAGAATAAATCTGATGCAATACAAATTTGTGTTATAGTGTTTGGAGTTGAAGTTTAAAAGTTTATTGTGCATCATTTTGCATATTTTGGATTTTTTTTCTTCAATTGCATATTTTTTAGATTTATTGATTTAAACTTGTATATTTTAAAATAATTTTGATAATTTACTCGTAAATCAATTTTTTTAGTTAATCAAAAATATTAATGTAAAATTTTCATTTTTGACACGTTTTAAAAATGTTATTTAGAAAATAAAACGCGCTGTTAAATTATTCATTCTATATCAGTTTTTATCTCTTATGAATTCGTCTGTAATAATGCCGACAAGGCAATACTCCATAGCGTTATTCCGCCTATTTTATTCGGGAACCCATTTTATTTTTAGCTCTGAAGACAATTTTATTTTTATTTATCTTTCGCAGTATTATTTTGTCTGCCAATACTCAGTAATCGACGAATCACGGACGATATGCAAGATTTGTTTTTTTTTTTAATTAAATTTGTATTAATACGTCTTTTTTAATTAAAAATAAATGCATATTTTTAAGATTTTAAGCACATAAAGTCCCGAGCCCTGATCATAAGTTATAACTTATAACTAATTATTGGTTTAAGAAAATATTTATGGTTGATTTAGAATATTAATAAACATGATGAAGCAGCGACATTTTTCCTTATAGATATAAATTTTGTTAAAACTGGTCAATCATGTAAATTAAAAAAAAAAAGATAACCAATATGGTATGTGTTTAAAAATTATTTGGAACCTATTGTAAATGTATTATGTGTATACATACATGATTCGTCTTATGTAATTTAATTGAACTTGGATATTTATGGCTTTATTCTTGGAGTTTGTTATTATGTATTAATATTTAAAATTATTGTTCGTTATTATATAGATAGCTAACTAAATAAGTTGTTCATGCATGTATAATTTATTTATTTATAATAATTATTGTGTACAATATATGATTGGAAAAATATCAACTATTTTCTTCCATTTATTTTTGTTAAGTATTTTTATTATTATTTAAATAATGTAAATCAACTGATCTTTTAGTTTTTAAAGTAGAGTTGAAATCTCAAAATAGTATGAAAATTATGAGCCTTATAGCCTTATATTTTTTAATTACTTATAATAATAATGAACAATATAAATTAAAAGTAACTGGTATTTCTCTTTATAAAGTTAACTTAATATTAAAATATGTATTTTTGAAAACAGTTAAATAATTATAATATATTTCATTTTTTTTATATGTTCATATGGCTAAAACAAAAAGAACTAAAAAAAAAAAAAAAAATAGATCCCAAAATATAATTGTATTCTTATTTTTTTTTTTCGTCTTGTATTTAATTTATTTATTAATTTTAGATTTGGGATGCTAAGACTGGTGGGGAAGTACAATCTTTTCAGCATAAACACATTGTAAAAAGCGTAAATTTTTCAAAAGACAGCATTTTCCTTGCAACTGGCTCCAATGAAAAATTACTCAGAATATTTGATCTCAACAAATCAAATGGTTTGTATTCCGTACAGAAAAATTTTAATTAATATTATTTATTGTAATGTTATGCATTATATATGGATGTAATATGAGTTATAAAAACAGTATTTATGTTTTCACCATACTGCTGTCCAATCTTATCAGGAACTGTTTTCATGCATTTATAAAAGCTATTATCTCTATATATATATGGTTTTATTCAAGGTCCACTACTACTAATATTTGCTACAGTATAGCTCACTACTCAAGCCAATAAACTTTACATGGTCGATCTGTCGATCTGTCACTGTCCTATTGACCTTGGATTATTTTATAGCGCTAGTAGAATTTATATCCCACCCCAATTTAAAGTAGAATAATATATTGAAAACAGTAAAAAAATATGTTGGGCTGTGAGGAAGAAAATTGAATTGCCTCTCTCTGCTCAGTTTTTTTTAACTAAAAGCATTTAATATTTTTCATAGTTTTTTTTTAACATTCTAAAAAATAAAATTTTCTAATAATAGTAACAAAATTAGTTTAAAAATTGTTAAGATTCTTATACAGTATAGTATTTTTCTTATACATATTAAATTTAAATACCTTCTATAATATATTATATTTGAAAGAAATGATTTAAATCTACTAATACTATACTTATCTACTATGGTTTAAAAGTAAAAATATTTTATTGAAAATTCTGTTGACTGTAAAATTTCAAATGAATACTTCCATCTACTGTTCAAAAAAATTTCTCTGCTAAATTTATTAAATAAATATAAAAAAAAATTTTTTATTGAAATTTTAACATCAAATTATTACATTTCATACAAATTTGTTATATTTTGTTAAAACACAATTTTAAGATAATTATTCTTATATTTCATATTTAAATAATATAGTAGAAATTGATTATAATGACTTTCAAGGAACAGAAATACTTTAACTAGTATGTGATAAAAAGTACTGAAAAATTCAAACCAATTAATTCTTCATTAAATTATTTGATTTAATAGAACATAAATAAAATGTATATCCAGATCTGAATTAAATTTGTTCAATAGAAAAAAATATGCAATTTCATATACATCTAAATTTTACTTATAATTTATTATTTTTTGTATTTATTCCCAAGATTATTTTTTAATAATTTTTCCTTCAATAAATATGTTTTTTTTTTCGACGAACTGAACTTTACTAATATATTTTTTCACTTATAGAAGCTGTTACAACATTCACCGGTCATTCATCTGGTATAAAACATGTTATGTTCTTTCAAAATGATAGAAGGATAATTTCATGTGCTGATGACAAGACCGTTAGAATTTGGGATCCTTTGTCTGGACAAGTGTGTTAATTAACTTTGTTTGCTTATATTTTTATTTTAAAATATGTGTTTATCATATTAACATTAGGAAATACACAAAATGGAGTTCAATGCCATACCGACCAGTTTAGAAGTATCTAGAGATGAATCAATTGTGACCATTGCACATGGAAACTGTGTTAGCTTTTGGAATGCTGATAGGTAATAATATTAACATTATTTATATTTTATTAAATAATTAACATATTCTGTTTAGTTTGTCAAAAGTAAATGAAGTTACTGTACCTACCCTTGTCAATACCGCTTCTTTGCATAGAGACAAGTCTATGTTTGTATGTGGAGGCGAAGATCTTAAAATGTATAAAATTGATTACAACACCGGAAAAGAAATTGGTAAGCATTAATAAATATTATCTAAATTTATTCATTTTACTCATTGATAAATATCTATTTCAGAATCTTTTAAAGGTCATTTCGGTCCTGTACACTGTGTTCGTTTCTCACCAGATGGTGAGTTATACGCTTCAGGATCTGAAGATGGTACTCTACGTTTGTGGCAAACAACCATTGGAAAGACATATGGCCTTTGGAAATGTGTTGATAAAGTTAGCTCTCCGCAAGATTTACTCCAACAAGAAATTACTGCCATTTAATGTATCAAAACATATATTTCATTCAAAGCTGTGTATGTTATTGAAAATGTAATTTTCATTTATTTAAACCTCTATAAAGAATGATTCTAATTGTTACCAGTAAAAAATTAATCATTCTAAAGTTCTCATATAATTGATGAATACCATTTTTAACTCAATAGTTATTATGATTTTCAGTACTTAAATTAAAAAATAAAATTGATCTAATTCAAAATATTTGGTAAGACATGATAAAAAAAATTTATCAATTGTGTACCCAAAATTGAAATATTTTATACATATTTAAAGATTTAATATCGCTCAAATTTTTTCATTATTAATAATATATGATAGAATTTGAAATGTTTTTTTTTTCAAAAAAACACATGACATTTATATTATATTACTAAGTATTTCAATGTCAATGATATTACGTAAAAAAATACTATTTTTAAAAAAAAAAGAGCTGAAAGAAAAATTGATTTCTTAACCATTTATTTTTACTGTAGGATACAAAATGTTTTATAATTATATTTATTTCCAAGTAAAATGTTTAAAATTTTAATTATTGTGAGATATTGTTATTAAATATTGCTTGGAATAAGACTGTTATAACTGTGTTCCATTTCAATGAATACAGTTTATGTCTGAATGCGGTTTAATTTATCTTCCAAGTAGCAGAAATTTTTCACAACTTGATTATTTTTTATTATTTATTAATATATTTATTTATGCCACAAGACTTAATATTATGAGAAAGGACTTTGAAATAAACTTTTTATGTTTTTCAAAAATGTATTTTTATTACCTAAATCATTGATTATATATTATTTTTTAATATAGCCAAGTACTATATATATCTTACATTATCCACTTGACAATCCAATAATTCCGTTTTCCTAAAATCAAAAAATGAATTATTATTTATTTAATAAACGTTATACATAATGACACTGACACAAAAAAAAATAGAGTGTCAACGAGTAACTGTAACTATTACTCAAATTAGAATAGGAAAATTTAATATTTTCAAAAAAATTAAAGAGCACCTCTACATAATAGCTGTTCGTTTTAACAAAAATTGTCTACTTTTTTAATAATAGTGTATACTGATATGATTGTTTTTTAAAAGTGTCAGGGTAAATACTGTTCGCTTTAAAAAAGTATAACTTTAGTGTGTATACACTATACAATATATTAACAAATGCATATGTCATTATGGGGGTTTTTGGTGTGGAATCAGTTATAACTATATTTCCCTAATAATTACCAGTTCCCACATCGTCTTGTCAATAGTATTTCACATTTCGTTAATTAAAAAAATGAAAGTATGCTGTAAAAATATGAAATATGCCATACCAATGATGAAACTTTACCATTATTGGTTATATAATATCTCTATAACTAGAACTTAGAACAAAACCTTTAGTAATACATTTTTCATATTATCTACAATCCACAACTGACTTCCACACTAGAAACATTTGGTTTAAAATGGTACACCACAAAGCATACACCCGACACTACACAATATTGTTAACACTGTTTTTAAATCAAACCATTATTAGAATCCATCCATAACCGTGAAACAAAGCTATTATATTATTTATGCAAAATATGGTATATATTAATTTTATTAATTAGAAATAAGATTTTATTAAACTAAAATAATTTAAATATCATTTATGAATGTAAGGAAATAGTAGAAGAGCATTGAAAACCAACTTTTCTAATTAATAATTGATTTAATATATAATTTTTTTAAATCAAAATTTGCTGTAAAGTGGGATTGAATAATATTTGTGTTAATAGAACATTTATAAATTAACAGAGAAAATAAGTATTATCAGTTAAGTTGATCATTAGCCGAGAAACAAATTACCACTAGGAAAAAATTAAACATAATTTATTTAAAAAAATTTTTTTACATCTAGTTAATATTATTAATTATTATATAAAATTAAATATTTTAACTAATAATAAACAATATTACTAACCAACTCTTACTAAAGAAATTTTGTTGGGCAAAATGTGTATAGACAATGTTACAATTTCACTTATATTGGTTATTCTCTGATGGTTAATATAAAATCCACCAGCTGTAATTATTCTACATGCATCTTCTGTAAAAACAAATTATGGATCATAATTAAATTTATATTAAATTAACATAAAATATTAATTACTTTCAGTCAAAAAACATTTTGCTTTCATTGCCATTTGTAGTACAGTAATACCAGGTTCAAGCATAAGTTCAACTGTAGTTGCCCCATTAAATATTTTGAAAATATCATTAATTTTTAACGTACTAAGAGTTTCAATACTATTATCATACAATGCTGATGTGGCTACTATTGCTTCTTGAAGACCAGTTTCTATATACAGTAGATTACTTAATTACACATTATGTTAGTATTAATATGTCTCTGAATAAATATTATAATACCTCCATGAACCAATGTTGTAACATTACGAGCCAATGTTTTATGTGGAATTCGTTTATCAGGATTAGCCTGAAAAAATTTCAAATACAAGTTAGTTTTCATAAAATATAAATAAATATACAATATTTTTATAGTATTCACTTTGTGTTTACTCATTAGCTCTTTTATTTCAGGTAATGAAAGAAATGTAAACATTTTCAACAATTTCTCTACATCAGCATCTGCAGTACGTATCAAAAACTGATATAATTCAAATGGTGAAGTTCTATCAGAGTTTAACCATACAGCATTTTGGGCTGATTTCCCATACTTATCGCCAGAGTCTGTAGTTATTAAAGGAACTGTTAGACCTGAAATAATTATCAATGAATTATAAAAGAACCCAAATAATAAAAAAAATTTCATATTTCATAATGTTTCCACAGAATAAATGTCACCTAACACTACCAAATACTACAGATTAGATATGCATATTCTATAAAGTTAATTAATTATTCAACCATGGAAATATAGTATACCATAAACTCTAGTATTTTCTAGTCGACTAATTAGTTCTTGACCAGACATGATGTTTCCCATTTGATCATTTCCTCCTATCTTAAACAAATAACTGCAATTTAATGTGCATTTCAATCTCATTAAATTTTACATTACTAAACTTACTTGGAATAAACATTTGTATTTTTTAAATAAATGCAGCCAATCATATGCTTGGAAAGCCTGATAAGTGAATTCTGTAAAACTCATGCCACTACCAGATAAACGAGTTTTAACACTCTCCCTGGATAACATAGTACCCATCCTGAATTGTCGACCAATGTTATTCATGAAGTCAATAACACCAATTCCTTCATACCATTCCATATTATTCACTATACTATAAAAAAATACATTTAATAAATGTTTCTGTATGGTATTGTGGATGCAAAATAATAAGAGTTATATCTACAAAAATTATAAAATTTGTATTGCACAAATTTAATTGAAAAAAGCAAAGGTTAAAAAAGTACCTCAAAAAGCTCACATTGGTTCAGGTAGAAGATCTTTTGATTTCCAAAAGTACTGAGCATGATTGTCAAATACAGCTTGTAAACTACTAGTAATACCTTTCACATTGTATGACAATATATGTGAAGATTGTTTATCTCTATCCTTAGATTTTCCGCTTGGATCACCTATTTGAGCTGTAGCACCTCCAATCTATAAATTCAAATGTAACATTAAAATCTATTGAAAAAAAAAAGCATTAGTTAACTGATAATTACCAATGCAATAACTTTATGGTTGGCACGTTGCCAATGCAATAAATTCATGATAACGAGTAAATTTCCAATATGTAAGCTGTCTGCTGTTGGGTCAAATCCAGCATAAACGCATTGGTTTTTCTTGGTCAGTAAATTTATTATTTCATTGCTAAAAATGACAGAGGTTACTAAGAAGTCATAGAAAAAAAATCAAACATCAGTATTCAACAAACAATGTGCAAATGTATTAACTGTGATAATAATAATTCATATTCAGAGGTATTAAATAATATTTAGTCTCATGTCTACTGTTGTTTTTTCAACGATTCAAAGAATATTGGAATTGGGGATAGAAAATCATGACCAATTGTTAATTCGTCAGTAGCAATTTTGTTGGCTTTATATCAATTTCGCCAAAAATAGCATATAAAGAAAGAAAAATTATGAGATGGAAAAAAGGTATACATTTATTGCGCCACTATAAAACAGGTATAAATTATAGGTATATATCTATTGCACCGATCGATATTCGAGTTAATACATTTTGCGATCACCTCATTGATATATATATATATATATATATATATATATTGATGAAAATGCAACTTTACCCCTGTATCTTTGGTTATCGTGTAATATATCAGGCGAAAGAACAACAAATGCATGTGAGGCATATCACTCAACGTTTGGGAAATATTATTATAAACCCCTTCCAAATATTTTTGTTTTTTATGAAGTTTTAAAATTAATGTAACGTAACAATCATAATATATGTTCTCTTAGTTATCACAAATAGACCAAACTCTACATTTATAACAAAAAAATAATTATTAAAATAAACTAATTTTAATATTAGACCCAAGAACTTTTCAAAATATGTAGGATTATTATAATATATATAATATACTATTAGTGTAAATGCCAAATATGTAGAATGATTAGTTTGATTTTAATTTTAATTTTTGTTTTTAGGCATTATGATTTTTACTTGTACTGTATAGTTGTTATACCTTTTAAATATACTCTTTTTATATCGGCGCAATAGATGTATACTATACAGGTAATGTCCCAAATTCGGCACAATTGACAAATACCGATTTTGTTCTGTAACTAATCTGATTGAAAAAAGCTTGTCACTTGATACCTAGAGTTCTCGGGAAACATGTTTTGTAGCATTTGCCGTTCGTATAATTTCAAGACGTTCCTATTTGCGAAAAACCGACGGTGGTCTCTGAAAGCATTGCAGGTGCGACCACCAGCCGCGACGGGAAACAGCAGCGATTTGGACAGTAACAGGCAGCGGCACATTTTATAAGCGATCCGGTTGAGACACGACACGAAAAACGTGCACTAGAAACACCAGGGGACCAAAAATATATACTAAAAGCTGTTTTATATTAAACCGAGCAAGGGACCGACTACGGTTCGAAATCACAAACTATTGTCGGCACATTGAGTGATAGCGGACTACATAATGATGGATCGTTCATGAAAGAATCGTTCTTTTGGAACGAGTCCAGAGGGGGAACGAATCGAAATGATTCAACTTATCGTTTCTTTTAGATGCAATAGCTCCAAAACCAAATCGTTCCATATCCGTAATTCGTATCACTTGCACCATTACGAATCCAATAAGGAGCGAATCGAAACGATTGCACCTACTCGGTTCTTTTGTTGCAATGTTCCTACCAACCAATAGTTTTACATTTGTATTTTTTACGATGTGAGTACTATCACAGAATAAAACTAATAACTAACAAATGCATGTTCATAAAAATATCACGAAGGTACAAATTTTACTATTCACCATAAATGAAGAAAAATACCTCAAATTTAATTAATGTATTTAAACAAACTGGTGAAAAAAATCCTTGTAATATTCTCTAAACAAAGGCGCCGCGAGGGGGGGTGCAAGGAAATGCAATTGCACCACCCTGGCTTCTCAAAAAAAAAAAAAAAAATTAATGGTACCTATTGAAAATGTTATATCTTGTATATGTAATCTATTATAATATTTATTTTACATAATTATCTATTAAAAATTATAATACTTATTTTACATAATAATTATTGTTTATCTATTTTAAATTATAATATTTATTTTTTAAATAATAACTGTAAACGCCTAGGTTTTTTTCAATATAAAGGACATGCCAGTTATCACTAATATATTCAATTTATAAATCGGTCACTTTTATCACATGCGATAAGCTTACCAGTTGTCGATCATTATCGGATTTTCTAATCGTAGCCAATACCCCTTATTACTTTGTATACGACAAATAAATAAAAATAATTTTGTATTGACATAAAATTTGAAAAATATTTCTACGTATTTCTACTAAAATAAATTAAACATTGTTTAAAAATCAGCGTATATTATGCACGATGCACCTCCCTGTTAAAATTCTTGGCTGCGCCCTTGTCTCTAAACATACAAATTTAATAAATATTAATATAATATACAAAATACAAAATACAAAATATAGATATTAATAATATATTATGTATATTTTTATTAAATATTTTAAAAATTGTTCAAAATTGTAAAAGTTTTTATAATACTTAGTTATAAATAACAAATCCTGTTATTATAAAAAAGTAGGTAACTTAAAAGAGAGAATTATCATTTATCCTTTAATGCAGGAACGCAGGATATCTGATATGTAGTAAATATGTGTATTGATTTCAGAATGTGAAACTGTAAAAACTAGCGTACTTTGTTTTTCAAAATCTTCATCAATAATTAACTTCATTATTCTTGGTTTTACAAAATAATATAAAATATTAAACATTAATTTGGATAAAAATGTTTATATTATAATATAATATACCTTAATATACGTATCTTATAAGTTATTAATAGTGTTTTCTATAAATAATTAATAATTGCGGTTGATAAGCCATACACAACCTTATACTTTATATTGTTTAATATTATGAAATTAAATTTTCTATACATTTATTCTATTTCTCTTAATAGTAAACTAGTTTTAAATAATTCTATATAGTTTATCCTATAGAAATAAATACAAATATACGTAAAAAGTAAAAAAAAAGTTATTTTAAATAAGTATATTATAATATAATATAATATGTATATATATATATATATATAAGTATATTATCATAAGTTCTTATGGTTTCTAGCTTATAAATGTAATATACCAATAACACATTCATCTTAGATTCCTTAAATGACTCGTCTTAATCTTGAATACATAGTCGGATCCCTAGAACAACGCAGAACCATATTTGATTTATATTTAATTTATAAATTACTAAGTTATCAGATTGATTGTTTTGATTTTTATAAATACTTTATATAGACTAATTTTCCAAATTAGAGAACTAGGTAACACAAGATTAAATAACGTATTTTATTAACTAAAAAACCTAACTACAAATTATACTTACCAACAATTCAAAATTATTAGGTACCTATAGTGTAAATAAGACGCATAGCCAGAGGGGGTGTTATAGGTGTAGTAACACCCCCCCCCCACTGCCATGGTATACTTGATGTGTTTTATCATGATAAAGATGCATCATAAGCCGTGATTTACACTTATTTATCAAAATGAAATATATATTACGATAACAATAATGTAAAGCACTATAGCCAGGACCCGCCATTAATTAGTAATTACTAAGCTTAGGGACTTATAGCTCTAAAAAATACACAAATATGCATGCAAATATGTATCTAAAATCATTAAAATATGCATTAAAAAAAAATACCACATAGTAAACAAGATAATACGTGTCCATCGGATGTAAATGTATATTTAAACTCCGAAACAAAACTTTGTAGTCGGTTACCCGTAGACTGTTGTACTTTCGGCATTACACAATAATAAATATTTCCTACTGTTCATCGACTTTTAAAAATATTGATTACTTTACCAGTAACTATTGTAAGCAGTGAAAGATCTTTTTCCTCTTTACAGCATTTAAAAACATATTTGAGGAACACAACCGGTGAAAATTGGTTGAACGGCTTAGCAGTTATGAATATTTATCAGGATTCAGTCGTAACCACCGACGAAATAATAGATATTCTAGCTTTAAATAGTAAACGCATTAAGTTAATTTAATTAAAAATATTTTTCCTTTTTGTATTAATTATAATAATATATATGTGAACAATTTAAATATACGTAAAGTAATCAATTTCGTGTGTATAATTTTGTCAATTTTGAATATCACCTCCCCCCCCATTAGAAATTTCTAGCTACGCGCCTGGTGTAAATATCTATAAAATTTATCCCTTTTTGTTCTACTACTTTTATTTTTATAAAAATCATATCTCTGTAAATTTAGTTTAACAAATTAATTATATATCTTTTTATCATATTTTATATTGTTTCATATAAATTCTATTTTCACCTGTTGTTGGTTATATACTTATATGTTACTATGTTAGATATATAATCATAATTATTTTTAAGTAAATATACATGACGACATGACGCATGTACAGTGACGTATTTTCAATTTTTTTTGGGGATTTATACATTAACAGTTTATACATAATTAATATAAACTATATATTATAGTGTAATAGTTACGTTCTTGTGCAGTTTTTGGAGGAAGTTGAATTAAATATATAATGTAGTAATCGTATAGTCTAATGTAATTTTATATATATGTACCTATATATTGTATTTAGCATTATATATTATAAAGTATTGTTATAAAATAAATTCCAATTGTCTCGATTTTTTGGCGAAACTCCTCTATCACTTCATCAACAGTAATTTCAACTTCCTTGTGAATGTTTAACATAGCCAATTCTGCAAATATGTAAGAATTTTTGTTAAATTTTTATTTTTTGGAGAGGTTCTGGGGGGGTTTAGTACTCCTGGACCCCCCCTCCCCCCCGTAAATACGCCACTGCGCATGTAATTGGATCCAAACACGTTACATTTTCAGGCAAATAAACAAATATTACACTATTTATCTGTCTCGAATTAACTCATAGTAAATAAAAATATTAAGGGCTAATATTTTTCTCAATGGGTTTTCAATACATCAGTCGGTAGCTGTTGAACTCACGTAATACTTTTTAAAATTCTAAGAGGCGCCAAAAAACAAAAAACATAATTAATTTTGAAAATAATTAATTCTTTTTTTGGTGACTTTTTGTCGATTTAAGTAAAATTAGATTATCGTATCAATATGGATGTTAGATTGGTAGTGATGTAAAATAGTTTTTTATAGGATTATGGGGATGGTGTTTTATCCAATGGTTTTTTTCGTCGTTATCGTGTGGCTTTTCGAAGTGTTATCATAAAAAGTACCGAAAGGAACGAGTCATTTGGAATCGTTCCTTTTGTGGACCTGGAACGAAAGGAACGATTTACTAAATGGAACGACATTTCCCACAACAAATGGCTAGGCATGGCGGATAACTTATTATCTACACAAACTAGCCGCCAGTTCTATGATAACGTGTGTGGATGGAAGTTATATACGCATGGGTGAATAAATCCGTATCGTTTCATACATTCTGCACTGGGATGTTTCACCGTAAACACGGATATTTATAAATAAATAACAATACTCTGCTGATAGCCGGAAAGAACAGGTTTTTATTTCTATGTTACTTGTGCTCTTCTTATTATCAGTCTGTTAAAGTTATAATTTTTCCGAATAGATTGTTCATCGGTTAAGACACTGAGGGTTTTATGAAACGTGTGTAAGAGTTCCAGACGTTAAATTTAAAAATCAATGAAAGATGAAACAGAAAACGAAAAGGAAAAAAAGCGGTAATTAATTGCCGCTCTGTCACTGAAGAGAACTGTTCTGTCTTACTTCTCTGCGACTAGGTAAAATGAAAAACGAACATGGACCGAACGATCCCACACAGACATTAACTGTTGTGTGTGTTTTAAAATTATTTAATCAGATCATTCGTCGAATTCCTTTTACGATCGAAATGGAAAGATTACAAACTTGGCTGGTCCGCAAGGACAAATTATGTCTGCCACTGTGGAGAACAATGTCGACAAAATGTTACATGATATTCAGTGCTCTTAGCGCCGGAGCTACGGTCATCACATTTTTTTTGATATACTGGTTTTGCGGTGGCTTAGTGGCACTATCATTTCTTCTGTTGAGTATTATTGGTGAGTAAATGCTTTTCTATCCTCCTACAGTTGTATTAATTATTTTTCAAATTTCATTAGGGTTTGTATATCATTCGGAAGATTACTTATTATATTACCCAGACCTACCCGATCATTCACGAATATTTGTACCACAACCATCATTGTATGGCTTACCATACGAAAATATATTTATCAAAAGTTTAGATGGCACTCGGTTACACTTGTTTTTGATAAAACAACCCGGTGATATTTCTAAGATAGTACCCACGATTTTATTCCTGCACGGAAATGCAGGAAACATAGGCCACAGGTTGGATATTGTCTTCTAATTGTTTTTATAAATTATTTTAATAATTGTCTGTGGTATTAATATTTCCATGTAGATTATCAAATGTAGTAGGCTTCTATAATGAATTGAGATGCAATATAGTAATGCTCGAGTATCGTGGATATGGATTATCGCAAGGTTCACCATCTGAAAATGGTTTTTATATGGATGCAAGTGCAGCAATGGATTTTATATTAACTCGAAATGACTTAAATCTTGGCAGGATTATAGTATTTGGTCGCTCATTAGGTAATAATGTATTATTTAAACACAATTTTTGTAAAAAAAAAATTTAACAATGAACATTATTTTATAGGTGGTGCAGTGGCTATTGATTTAGCAGCTCGTATAGAATACTCACAAAAAATTTGGTGTGTAATAGTAGAGAATACATTTACAAGTATACCAGATATGGCAACAGTACTTATGTCTTTTGAACTTTTTAAATACGTCCCTTTATTCTTGTATAAAAATAAGGTATTTGAATGGGAATAGAATTATTTATAATTTTAATTCAATACTTTCTTTTCTTTAGTATATGTCCAACTGGAAGATGGGCAAAATGCAGATACCAATATTATTTGTTTCGGGCGAAGAGGATACCTTAGTTCCTCCAGCAATGATGACAAATTTGTTTGATGCATATTGTGGCCCTTTAAAACAAATTGTAAGGTTTAGAAGAGGATCACATAACACCACATGGAACTGTCCTGGTTATTACAAAAAGATTAGGCGGTTTTTAAAGATTACAGCAAAACATAGGCCTAACGCAGAAGATCTCCATTGTATCATAAAAATTGTTTGATAATGATTGTATTAGTTCCTAAACATGATTAAATACAATGTGTAGTTAGTGCAAACAAGTAAAAGTTTGGAACAAAATTTAAAGATAATTTTTTCCGTTTTTTTTTTTACATATATGCACATAATTTTAGATTTGATTGTGTTATTGTTGTACATGATCTAAAATATGTTTTTAATATATATATAATACTCATTTGTATTGTGAGTTTTTAACTTTAACTTATTTATCATATTTAATTAATAAATTGTAAACCTAATATTAATATAATTACTAGTCTAAAATTTTGCATCACACCAAGAAGTAACTTTTGCCTTCAATGTTTTGTTTTGTCAATACTCATGTTATTATTTAATAAATTTAATAATTTTTTATGTTCAATAAAAAGTATTATATTAATACATCTAATTAGTTTGATTAATTTAAGTTAATATTATTTTTTGAAGTAGTTATTACCTTTGTTATGGCCGGATCGGTTAAACTTGATAGAGTCTGTCGACACTATGTAACGTTTGTAAGTTCGCACTTCGATTAAAGTAAAGGATAAAAAAAATGGTTAAGACTCGTGAACAAATTACTTTTATGAGTTTATTTATTGACCGTTCATGTACTTGGTTATCATACAACTGGTTATGCGGATGGCAAAAGGCGTCCAGTCAATCCCAAAAATGCTTACTTGCATTACTCCCCACATAAAGGACTAATGCCTACGCGTACATATTATTTATACATTTATAATAATAGTAATAATAATAATAATAATAATAATATATATATATTTATATATATATACTAAATACTATTCGCTTACAACACCTTGATAAAATATAATCAAAAAGTAATTTTTTAATATTACAAAATATTGAATGAATAGTATAATTAATGGTTATTTAATGATAAGCTATTTTTTTTCAGTTTTGAGCTAAAGTAAAAATGTAATAATTGTTTTTTAGTCAACTTTTTTGGCTACATTTTTATTAACCAACAAAAGCATTTAAAATACTTCAATAAATTGAAAATTTGATCCATGGAGTGCTTGTAAGAGGTAATTATATTAAATATATTATCTAATTTCTGATTCAAGTACTTGTAGTTTTATTACAAGCTCATAAAACTACCATTTAAAGTGATCAATTTGTGTTTCAAGTTTGTATACTAGATAAGATATTCAATATATAATATACATACCATATCAGGTGCGTACACAAAAAAATATTTTGGGAGGGGTTTTAAGTTGTACATTTTTATAATAATATAATCTATATACCAATTTTACTATATAAAAACATATTTAATCATTTTCCTGAATTTCGGAAGGGGTCTGAACCCCTAAAACCCCTTATGTACGCGTCTGTACCATATATATACCATATACATATATCATACCAATATATGCTTATAAATGTTTAAAAGATGTTATTTTTCATCCAATTGTTTCAATTTAATAATTAAAAGTATTTCACTCTTCTTGAAGATTAAAGAACAATTAAACGACCTAATACGTGTCGTAAGTGTCATTGTTTTATTGGTTTTTTGTCTTACGCCATGTTAATAGTGATAATATAACTATTAAACATAAAATTATGGATTTAAATAATTAATGCATAGTACCTTTTCATTTAATTACGTCGTATAATCATTTGTATTATTATATTATACCATTACAATCAAATGCCCACAACAGCTCTAGAACAAATTAAACGTTCATGATTGGTAAACAACCCCGCAAAAAAAAAAATCCACCAAAAACCTTCATAAAATGTGTATGAAGTATACCTATAAAAGTTGGTCTATTTGCATTTAAATTGTATTTGCAATTTTTTTGTTAGAAAATATTAGGAAATAAACTAGGGTGGCCATTCGTCCCGGATTTCCCGGGACATTACCGGTTTAGGAACCCATGTCCCGGCGTCCCGAACAAAGTTCTCGGGACATCGATTTTTACCGAATTTGGACTTTTGCATAGTAATGTCCTAATTTAGGTCCTAAAATATGTAAAATCCTACATTTCTGAAGAAAATACACAGCACTGATAAATATAAAGTCTCCTTGGACGACAAAAATAAAGAAAAATAATAAATCAGTAAATTTTACCTAGATTAGTATATTTATCTCAACGACTGGAAATTGTATTATTATTTTTATTAGAATTTTGAGTGTTAATTAAATAAAGATGGCCTATCTAATTGATTAATTTGAATATTATTTATACCTAAAAGTTATATACAAATACCTATGTAATTATATACTTACTAGATAATTACCTATTTTTTATGAATTTTGGTGTCCCGGATTTCTAAAAATTAAATCTGGCCACCCTAGAATAAACCCAGTGACCAACCAAAACATTATGAAACATGTCAATATAATATATAAATAAATATACAATTAGTTTATGTATAGAAATAAATAAAAGTTTAAAACTAAAAGCTTGAATTTTTGCCACTATTAGTATTAAATTTAGGTATATAGAACAAATCTAAATTTCATGTGTTTCTACCTAGTATTCTGAAATCAATTAAACTTAAAATATCTGGACAGATTATGAAACCATTTAAAATATCATAAATGAACATTATATCTATTAAATCGCTCCTTATTTGAAAAGAATAATTATTTAAAGAATCTTGAATCAAATGGAAAGAGTTTCTTGAAATTTGACAGTGAATTAAGTAAGCAATTTTTTTTAAAAATTTAAATTGAATATTATTTAGGGTCAACTTTTCGTCTTTGTGTATTATTTTAACTTGCTATTTTAAAATTTTTAAAGATAGACAGTAGTAGTATATATTTGTATGTTCTGGTTCTATTTTTTACAGGGAGATTCAAAATATTTGATCGACAGTCCCACGGTAAACTTTTTTTAGTTACCGTGCTCACGATTTTTTCAAAAAACCTATATGTATGTTCTGGCTCCATTTTTACAAAGAGATTCAAAATATTTTTAAGTTTATATAATATGGTGAAAAATCGTAAAAAAGGTAATGGTTTATATTTAAACAATCCTATTGGCAAAGACTTAATAGTTAAAAAAAAACTATCAAAAACTAATGTTACCGAACAGACCTCTTATCTGTGAAGATATTATAAATTACATTAAAAAGTTGAAAATCAATCATTTTCGTGGTGTCTTTTCACGAGAAAACTTACCTGAAAAACCATATAATATTGAATGTGTTATAATAAACTTGGATTCGTCTTCAGGCAGTGGTACTCACTGGGTTAGTTATTACCGATTTGAAGATAAAATTATATATTTTGACCCGTTTGGTAATCTTCCACCTCCAATTGAAGTTCAAAAATATTTTAAAGGTGACAACATCATATACAGTTATTCAAATTTTCAAAAACACAATACTTATATTTGCAATCATCTATGTCTTATACATATGAGACGTTGTAGATATTGAATATGGTGTTATTATTTAAGAATATAAAGCAGTTACAATCGATTAAACCGATCAGTCATTC